GGAGAACGTTCGTAGGCTAATGGCAAGACCGGAAATTAATATTCTTCACCTTCCCTGATTTCCCCCCAGAATCATCACCTGATTTCCCCCCAGAATCATCACCTGATTTCCCCCAGAATCATCACCTGATTTCCCCCAGAATCATCACCTGATTTCCCCAGAATCATCACCTGATTTCCCCCCAGAATCATCACCTGATTTCCCCAGAATCATCACCTGATTTCCCCTAGAATCATCACCTGATTTCCCCCAGAATCATCACCTGATTTCCCCAGAATCATCACCTGATATCTCCCAGAATCATCACCTGATTTCCCCCAGAATCATCACCTGATTTCCCCCAGAATCATCACCTGATTTCCCCCCAGAATCATCACCTGATTTCCCCCCAGAATCATCACCTGATTTCCCCCAGAATCATCACCTGATTTCCCCCAGAATCATCACCTGATTTCCCCAGAATCATCACCTGATTTCCCCCCAGAATCATCACCTGATTTCCCCCAGAATCATCACCTGATTTCCCCTAGAATCATCACCTGATTTCCCCCCAGAATCATCACCTGATTTCCCCAGAATCATCACCTGATATCTCCCAGAATCATCACCTGATTTCCCCCAGAATCATCACCTGATTTCCCCCAGAATCATCACCTGATTTCCCCCAGAATCATCACCTGATTTCCCCAGAATCATCACCTGATTTCCCCTAGAATCATCACCTGATTTCACCCCAGAATCATCACCTGATTTCCCCAGAATCATCACCTGATTTCACCCCAGAATCATCACCTGATTTCCCCAGAATCATCACCTGATTTCCCCCCAGAATCATCACCTGATTCCCCCCCCCAGAATCATCACCTGATTTCCCCAGAATCATCACCTGATTTCCCCTAGAATCATCACCTGATTTCCCCCCAGAATCATCACCTGATTTCCCCAGAATCATCACCTGATTTCCCCCAGAATCATCACCTAATTTTCCCCGGAATCATCACCTGATTTCCCCCAGAATCATCACCTAATTTTCCCCGGAATCATCACCTGATTTCCCCAGAATCATCACGTGATTTCTCCCAGAATCATCACCTGATTTCCCGCAGACTCTACTTCCTTCAGTCTCTCAGCACTCTTCTCCCCTCCCCTCAGTTGATATTCCTAGCGTCCTCCTGCTCCCCTTCTCCTCTCACCTTCCTCCCCCCCCCCCTCTCCCCCTCTCCTCTCCCCTCCCCCCCCCCCTCCTCTTCCCTCTCACCTCATTGCTAGTTAATTTTCCACTTCCCTGAAGACGGAGGCTGGCAGTACTGGGGTGGAGGCCTCGTCTGTGCCTCCAGTGTTCTCCCGGGCGTTGGTGCAGAAGGAAATTATTACAAATTTGTTCCATCCAGCAGCCGTTGCCAAGGTTCATGAATGAGTTTAAATTTACACACATGAGTCACACGTGAGTGTGGTCGAAGCTTTTCTCAAAAAGCGCCTCACTTACAATGAGTGAAGCTCATCTCTAAAAATGCTTTACTCACGCACTCAAGATGCAGATAATTGACAACGGAATCAAAACTCTTAAATTGGCCCATATCTGTGTATGAAGTCGTAGTGTATTATAATATTAGTGTGTGTTTAATATGACTTTCTGTCAAACTGTTATATAAATATTACCAAATACGCCGTCTTGCACGGCCGATATATCGATCAAGGAGACCTGGCGCTACCAAGTCTCTTCACAACCAAACAAAAAATATAAAATACTTTTGTTGAAATTTTAGGTGAAATTTTCATGCGCAAGGAATGATTTTTAGTACTCAAAATTCACCGATTTGTTCTTGAAGGCGAACTTCAGCAGTTGGACCCCGTGTGTGTGTGTGTGTTCTCACCTAGTTGTAGTCGCGGGGGTTGAGCTCTGGCTCTTTGGTCCCGCCTCTCAACCGTCAATCAACTGGTGTACAGGTTCCTGAGCCTATTGGGCTCTATCATATCTACATTTGAAACTGTGTATGGAGTCTGCCTCTACCATATCACTGCCTAATGCATTCCATCTGTTAACCACTCTGTTAAATGACTGTCAATTCATTAACATAAATAAGGAATAGTATGGGTCCCAGCAGCGATCCTTGAGGCACCCCGCTTGTTACTCTTCGCCAGTCTGGTTCCTCGCCCCTCAATGTAACTCTGGCTCCTGTTTATTAGGTAATTCCTTATCCATGTTAGTGTGTTTCTCTTACTTCAGCCTGTCCCTTGAGTTTGTATGTGGTATAATATCAAGAGCTTTTGGGCAGTCCAGAAATATGCAATCTGCGACCCGTCTCTGTCTTGCCTTATTTTCGTTACCTTATTACGATTCCAAAAGGTTCGTCAGGCATGATTTTCCTTCCCTAAAGCCGTATTGATGTTAGCTTACAAACCTAATTCTTGCTGGGTGTGAAAACAGTTGTAATCTTATTATTCTTTCAAGTACTTTGGCAATGGATGTTTATGAGTATCACGGGTCTGTAATTAAGTGCCTCTTCTCTATCTCCTTTTTTTTATAGATTAGCACCACATTTGCCTTCTTCCAGCAGCTGGGTAATTTCCTCTGCTAAGTGACTCATTAAAGATTAATGATTGAGGTATTCTGAGGACCTGCGGGAGTGTTTGTAGTTTACAGGGCCTCGTAGCCTGGTGGATAGCACGCAGGACTCGTAATTCTGTGGCGCGGGTTCGATTCCCGCACGAGGCAGAAACAAATGGGCAAAGTTTCTTTCACCCTGAATGCCCCTGTTACCTAGCAGTAAATAGGTACCTGGGAGTTAGTCAGCTGTCACGGGCTGCTTCCTGGGGGTGGAGGCCTGGTCGAGGACCGGGCCGCTGGGACACTAAAGCCCCGAAATCATCTCAAGATAACCTCAAGATACAGTGTTACTCACCATCCAATAAACGAACGTCTTTATTTGATATTAAGTCAAAAAGGGTTGACGAATCAGCTTAAGTAACCAGCGAAAGTAAAGGATTAAAATCAGCCATTATGGTCAGGTAGACATGGCCAGATAGACTGGGCAAATGTGATCCCGGAGGGATTTTATGCGGGCGGAGGGCGGGCGTACATCTGTGTTGCTGACACCAGCTGGTATTGGATATCTCCCAAACACCCTCCTGTGTGTTGCACCCGACTCACGGCTTCTCTTTGTAATTCATCTGAAGCTTTATATGCCTCCCTCTCGCCCTCGCTCTCTCCACCCGTCCCCTCTCTCTCTCTCTTTCTCTCTTCCTTTCCCTCCCGCCGTCCCCTCTCTCTTTCCCTTTGTCTCCTCTCAATTCTCTACCACCTCCCTTCCTTAAACACATTCTCTCCACACCCTCCAGCAACTAAACCCGTTACCCAGACTTGCCGGAATATACGTGAAGGCGTCATCCTTGGTGGTTGTGTCGAGAGCACGACGCTCCAGGCTTCCCGCAGCTACACCTCTTGTCTACGGTTCTCCCAGTGTATTCTCCAAGTAGCTGAACATTATTCCTGCTGCGACAGTCTCATCTGATTCATTATTGATTAGAAAGCATCTTCTACCAAAAATTGACACCCAACCTTGCCTGGGAGACCCTGCCTCGCCTGGGAGACCCTGCCTCACCTGGGAGACCCTGGCTCACCTGGGAGACCCTGCCTCACCTGGGAGACCCTGCCTCACCTGGGAGACCCTGCCTCGCTTGGGAGACCCTGCCTCGCCTGGGAGACCCTGCCTCACCTGGGAGACCCTGCCTCACCTGGGAGACCCTGCCTCACCTGGGAGACCCTGCCTCACCTGGGAGACCCTGCCTCACCTGGGAGACCCTGCCTCACCTGGGAGACCCTGCCTCACCTGGGAGACCCTGCCTCACCTGGGAGACCCTGCCTCACCTGGGAGACCCTGCCTCACCTGGGAGACCCTGCCTCACCTGGGAGACCCTGCTTTTTATATATTTTCCTGGAGACTTGCATCTTGAGTGTCCCCAACTTTCGTTATTAATGAGTGTAGAAAAGCAACCATTCGTCACTTTCCATTTCTAAATTAAACAGTGTTTCAGGATCACCTACTTGGAGATTGTTGCTATAATTGCCCAGGTGGAAACATCATGTTATGATGATGATTAATCCTGTAATTAATTCTCAACAACCGATCTAGAATGAATATAATGGATTATATGAAGTTGTCGAAGGCATTGAATAATGTAAATAGAAATATGACAAGAAAAATAAGTCACTAGCCATTACAGAGGCGGTGTTGAAGAGCTGACTGTCAACCGTGCGGGCACACCGAGTAGGTGTACACACCCAGGCGCCAACACATGACAAAATCTTCATGCTCCTCTGGTGTTTTTGAAGTAATTAATTGAGCGCCTAACTTGGCAGACTTGTGTGTGTGTCCTCCCGCCTAACTCCAGGTGCCGGTGGTCGAGACTATTTCCACTTTACATGATTCACTTAACCCTAACTCCCGCCCCACCTCCGGCTTCCCGCCCCACCTGCGGCCACCCCCCACACCCCCCCCCCCTCTTAAGCATACCCCCCCCCCCGCTTACCTTAGTCATCCCCCTCCCACACTAAACCATTCCTCGTCTTCATGTCTCCTATCCTTCCTCAGTTGCATTTACAAAGGTTACATTGTAAAGTTTTCCTGCGGGTCTGATCATATCCACAGCCCACCCACCCAGCACCGCCCGTACCTGAACACCGCCCACCTTCATCAACCATCCCCAACCTTCACCCAACCTCTTCTATCCCCCGCCCAAACTCCGCCCAAGTTCCGCCCATCCTCACCATAACTCCGCCCAAACTCCCCCACCCCCCACAACCCCGTCAATCACTACCAATTAAACAAGTGCCAAATAACCAAATGGGAGGCGGTGAGAGGCGAGCGTGTCAGGTGTTGACACGAGTAAAGTGTCACCAACCTGGGCTGGACTGCAGCCTTTGGGCCCCAGACTTACTGGAGGCCACATTAACCCTGGACCACTGTAGACACCACTGGACAGGTAGCTGGTAGACTAATTTATAGCTTGATTAATAGATTTAGTAGACAATAGATGCAATAGAAAGACAGTGATGTCCAGTAGAGAGCGTGAAGCTTGCAGTACATCTTAGTGTGGTGAGGAGAGGCGTCCACCATCTTAGTGTGGTGAGGAGAGGCGTCCACCATCTTAGTGTAGTGAGGAGAGGCGTCCACCATCTTAGTGTGGTGAGGAGAGGCGTCCACCATCTTAGTGTGGTGAGGAGAGGTGTCCACCATCTTAGTGTGGTGAGGAGAGGCGTCCACCATCTTAGTGTGGTGAGGAGAGGTGTCCACCATCTTAGTGTGGTGAGGAGAGGCGTCCACCATCTTAGTGTGGTGAGGAGAGGCGTCCACCATCTTAGTGTAGTGAGGAGAGGTGTCCACCATCTTAGTGTAGTGAGGAGAGGCGTCCACCATCTTAGTGTGGTGAGGAGAGGCGTCCACCATCTTAGTGTAGTGAGGAGAGGCGTCCACCATCTTAGTGTGGTGAGGAGAGGTGTCCACCATCTTAGTGTGGTGAGGAGAGGCGTCCACCATCTTAGTGTAGTGAGGAGAGGTGTCCACCATCTTAGTGTAGTGAGGAGAGGCGTCCACCATCTTAGTGTGGTGAGGAGAGGCGTCCACCATCTTAGTGTAGTGAGGAGAGGCGTCCACCATCTTAGTGTGGTGAGGAGAGGCGTCCACCATCTTAGTGTGGTGAGGAGAGGTGTCCACCATCTTAGTGTGGTGAGGAGAGGCGTCCACCATCTTAGTGTGGTGAGGAGAGGCGTCCACCATCTTAGTGTAGTGAGGAGAGGTGTCCACCATCTTACTGTAGTGAGGAGAGGCGTCCACCATCTTAGTGTGGTGAGGAGAGGCGTCCACCATCTTAGTGTAGTGAGGAGAGGCGTCCACCATCTTAGTGTGGTGAGGAGAGGTGTCCACCATCTTAGTGTGGTGAGGAGAGGTGTCCACCATCTTAGTGTGGTGAGGAGAGGTGTCCACCATCTTAGTGTGGTGAGGAGAGGCGTCCACCATCTTAGTGTAGTGAGGAGAGGCGTCCACCATCTTAGTGTGGTGAGGAGAGGCGTCCACCATCTTAGTGTAGTGAGGAGAGGTGTCCACCATCTTAGTGTGGTGAGGAGAGGGTGTCTCCAGCAGCGCTTCATCTAGCTAGGGTGGACGCGCCTCGCCTCAAGTCGCTGTGTCCGAAATATTTTAACTTTGCTCCTAATCTGTGTCTCAGGTCTTAAGGCTTTGCCTGTTCTTCTTTAGCTATGGCTTAAAGTGCTTGTTTGTGACGGTTGATTAATTTGACAAGTGGAGATTGTAATTGAAACTTGACCTGTCTCTCTTCATCTGCCTCTTAGCCCTCTCCTCCTCCTCCTCTTTCTCCTGCTTCTCCTGCTCCCCCTCCACATATCGGGTGAGAACAGGCGCCTGGGAGTGCCTTCGTTATTTGCATAAAGTTGATACGAGCGATAATAGCGTGTTGAAGGCTGGGAGGAGTGGTCGTTCTCCTGATGACTTGTATGGCACTCTCGCCGACCCAGACCCTGACCTGCAGCGGCTGGTCGTCCTGCTGCTGTGGGCGGCACTCTCCTTGCTGTAGGCGGCAAATCTCCTTGCTGTAGGCGGCACATCTCCTTGCTGTAGGCGGCACATCTCCTTGCTGTAGGCGGCACATCTCCTTGCTGTAGGCGGCACATCTCCTTGCTGTGGGTGGCACATCTCCTTGCTGTGGGCGGCACATCTCCTTGCTGTGGGCGGCACATCTCCTTGCTGTGGGCGGCACATCTCCTTGCTGTGGGCGGCACATCTCCTTGCTGTGGGCGACACATCTCCTTGCTGTGGGCGGCACATCTCCTTGCTGTGGGCGACACATCTCCTTGCTGTGGGCGGCACATCTCCTTGCTGTGGGCGGCACATCTCCTTGTTGTGGGCGACACATCTCCTTGCTGTGGGCGGCACATCTCCTTGCTGTGGGCGGCACATCTCCTTGCTGTGGGCGACACATCTCCTTGCTGTGGGCGGCACATCTCCTTGCTGTGGGCGGCACATCTCCTTGCTGTGGGCGGCACATCTCCTTGCTGTGGGCGGCACATCTCCTTGCTGTGGGCGGCACATCTCCTTGCTGTGGGCGGCACGTCTCCTTGCTGTAGGCGGCACATCTCCTTGCTGTGGGCGGCACATCTCCTTGCTGTGGGCGGCACATCTCCTTGCTGTGGGCGGCACTTCTCCTTGCTGTGGGCGGCACATCTCCTTGCTGTGGGCGGCACATCTCCTTGCTGTGGGCGGCACATCTCCTTGCTGTGGGCGGCACATCTCCTTGCTGTGGGCGGCACATCTCCTTGCTGTGGGCGGCACATCTCCTTGCTGTGGGCGGCACATCTTGCTGTGGGCGGCACTTCTCCTTGCTGTGGGCGGCACATCTCCTTGCTGTGGGCGGCACATCTCCTTGCTGTGGGCGGCACATCTCCTTGCTGTGGGCGGCACATCTCCTTGCTGTGGGCGGCACATCTCCTTGCTGTGGGTGGCACATCTCCTTGCTGTGGGCGGCACTTCTCCTTGGTGTGGGAGAAGTAAGTCTCCGTGACGTGAGAGGACAAGAATATAGGAGCCACCTGTGTGTGGGTGAGACGCTGACAGCTCACACGGTGAAGACAGCTCACGAGGGAGACAACTCACACGGTGAAGACAGCTCACGGGGGAGACATAACTCACACGGTGAAGACAGCTCACGGGAGAGACAACTCACACGGTGAAGACAGCTCACGAGGGAGACATAACTCACACGGTGAAGACAGCTCACGAGGGAGACAACTCACACGGTGAAGACAGCTCACGAGGGAGACATAACTCACACGGTGAAGACAGCTCACGAGGGAGACATAACTCACACGGTGAAGACAGCTCACGGGGGAGACAACTCACACAGTGAAGACAGCTCACGAGGGAGACATAACTCACACGGTGAAGACAGCTCACGAGGGAGACATAACTCACACGGTGAAGACAGCTCACGAGGGAGACATAACTCACACGGTGAAGACAGCTCACGAGGGAGACAACTCACACGGTGAAGACAGCTCACGAGGGAGACATAACTCACACGGTGAAGACAGCTCACGAGGGAGACATAACTCACACGGTGAAGACAGCTCACGAGGGAGACATAACTCACACGGTGAAGACAGCTCACGAGGGAGACAACTCACACGGTGAAGACAGCTCACGAGGGAGACAACTCACACGGTGAAGACAGCTCACGAGGGAGACAACTCACACGGTGAAGACAGCTCACGATTGAGACAACTCACACGGTGAAGACAGGTCACGAGGGAGACATAACTCACACGGTGAAGACAGCTCACGAGGGAGACATAACTCACACGGTGAAGACAGCTCACGGGGGAGACAACTCACACGGTGAAGACAGCTCACGAGGGAGACATAACTCACACGGTGAAGACAGCTCACGAGGGAGACATAACTCACACGGTGAAGACAGCTCACGAGGGAGACATAACTCACACGGTGAAGACAGCTCACGGGGGAGACATAACTCACACGGTGAAGACAGCTCACGGGGGAGACATAACTCACACGGTGAAGACAGCTCACGAGGGAGACATAACTCACACGGTGAAGACAGCTCACGGGGGAGACATAACTCACACGGTGAAGACAGCTCACGGGGGAGACATAACTCACACGGTGAAGACAGCTCACGAGGGAGACATAACTCACAGGGTGAAGACAGCTCACGGGGGAGACACAACTCACACCGGAAACACAGCTCACGTCAAAGAGACACTCACAACTCTCACAGGAGAGAACACACGTCCAAACTCTCGCAGAATGAGGCTCTGGAAGCGACTAATGAGGCAGAGAGCGTAATGAGACGAGCGGCCGGGTTCCCTGCTCTCTCCTCTCTAATGATATAAATCTTATGCCAGAGGCAGGTATGGACGGGCCTGGTTGTTGGTTAGTGGTGGTGGTTGGGTAGTTAGTGGTGGTTGTTGGTTAGTGGTGGTGGTTGGGTAGTTAGTGGTGGTTGTTGGTTAGTGGTGGTGGTTGAGTAGTTAGTGGTGGTTGTTGGGTAGTTAGTGGTGGTGGTTGGGTAGTTAGTGGTGGTTGTTGGTTAGTGGTGGTGGTTGAGTAGTTAGTGGTGGTTGTTGGTTAGTGGTGATGGTTGAGTAGTTAGTGGTGGTGGTTGGGTAGTTAGTGGTGGTTGTTGGTTAGTGGTGGTGGTTGAGTAGTTGGTGGTGGTTGAGTAGTTGGTGGTGGTTGAGTGGTTGGTGATGGTTGAGTAATGGTGGTTGAGTAGTTGATGGTGGTTGAGTGGTTAGTGATGGTTGAGTAGTGGTTGGTTGAGTAGTTGATGGTAGTTGAGTAGTGGTTGGTTCAGTAGTTGATGGTGGTTGAGTAGTGGTGGTTGAGTAGTTGATGGTGGTTGAGTAGTGGTTGGTTCAGTAGTTGATGGTGGTTGAGTAGTGGTGGTTGAGTGGTTGGTGGTGGTTGAGTAGTGGTTGGTTGTTGTGTAGTTGGTGGTGGTTGAGTAGTGGTTGGTGGTTGTGTAGTTGGTGGTGGTTGAGTAGTGGTTGGTGGTTGTGTAGTTGGTGGTGGTTGAGTAGTGGTTGGTGGTTGTGTAGTTGGTGGTGGTTGAGTAGTGGTTGGTGGTTGTGTAGTTGGTGGTGGTTGAGTAGTGGTTGGTGGTTGTGTAGTTGGTGGTGGTTGTGTAGTGGTTGGTGTTGTGTAGTTGGTGGTGGTTGAGTAGTGGTTGGTGGTTGTGTAGTTGGTGGTGGTTGAGTAGTGGTTGGTGGTTGTGTAGTTGGTGGTAGTTGAGTAGTGGTTGGTGGTTGTGTAGTTGGTGGTGGTTGAGTAGTGGTTGGTGGTTGTGTAGTTGGTGGTGGTTGAGTAGTGGTTGGTGGTTGTGTAGTTGGTGGTAGTTGAGTAGTGGTTGGTTGAGTAGTGGAGGCATTGTCTACCTTCGGAGAAGTATTGACTGTTACTTTAATATAGAAGTGAAGAAGCAGAAAGCGGCAGCCGTAGCGGAACTCTTCCATTATGGACCAATATATATGACACTTCACACACTCCAAGATATGAAAAGAATTTTTCATTAAATATCAGCATAACCTTGAACTCGCTTGCTGCCGGAAATAAGACATTTATTAAGAATTTAAAACTCGCTCTACCTTATATAGCCGCTATGTGTATTCGCCTAGTTGTGCTTGCGGGGGTTGAGCTCTGGCTCTTTGGTCCCGCCTCTCAACTGTCAATCAACCGCTGTACAGATTTCTGAGCCTGTTAGACTTTATCATATCTACATTTGAAACTGAATGGAGTGAGCCTCCACCACATCACTGCCTAATGTATTCCATCTGTTAACTACTCTGACACTGAATAAGTTCTTTCTAATATCTCCATGGCTCATCTAGGTGCTCAGTTTCCACCTGTGTCCCCTTGTTCATGTGCCCCCTGTGTTAAATATATTGTCCTTATCTACGCTGTCAATTCCTCAGAGAATCTTGTATGTGGTGATAATGTCTCCCCTAACTCTTCTTTCTTGCGTGTGTGTGTGTGTGTGTGTGTGTGTGTGTGTGTGTGTGTGTGTGTGTGTGTGTGTGTGTGTGTGTGTGTGTGTGTGTGCGTGTGTGTGTGTGTGTGTGTGTGTGTGTGTGTGTGCGTGTCTGTGTGTGTGTGTCTGTGTGTGTGTGTGGTGTGTGTGTGTGTGTGTGTGTGTGTGTGTGTGTGTGTGTGTGTGTGTGTGTGGTGTGTGTGTGTGTGTGTGTGTGTGTGTGTGTGTGTGTGTGTGTGTGTGTGTGTGTGTGTGTGTGTGTGTGTGTGTGTGTGTGTGTGTGTGTGTGTGTGTGTGTGTGTGTGTGTGTGTGTGTGTGTGTGTGTGTGTGTGTGTGTGTGTGTGTGTGTGTGTGTGTGTGTGTGTGTGTGTGTGTGTGTGTGTGTAAGAGAGATCATCAGTAACAAAAGCAGGAGTAAAGGGACGGACGCCCACCACCACCACCAAGAAACAGGAGCCAGAGGTCAAGAGCCAAGGACAGGTCACGGAACATCTTGGGAAAGGAAACTTGGAGATCACCGAGCGACTGTTGTAGTTCTTGCCGCCGCCGCCGCCGCCGCCGCCGCCGCCGCCGCCGCCGCCGCCGCCGCCGCCGCCGCCGCCGCCGCCGCCGCTCCAGCCGGCGCTCACAGCGTGTTACAGCTGGCCAACACTCCTGTAACACATGAGTGATGGTGAGACACACATACCAACCACTCGGAGTGTGTCAACACTGTTGCCAGCCTACCTGTAGCACCATGTGTCGACCAACCTGTTGCACCATGTGTCGACCAACCTGTTGCACCATGTGTCGACCTACCTGTAGCACCATGTGTCTACCTGCCTGTAGCACCATGTGTCTACCTGCCTGTAGCACCATGTGTCGACCTACCTGTAGCACCATGTGTCTACCTGCCTGTAGCACCATGTGTCGACCTACCTGTAGCACCATGTGTCTACCTGCCTGTAGCACCATGTGTCTACCTGCCTGTAGCACCATGTGTCGACCTACCTGTAGCACCATGTGTCTACCTGCCTGTAGCATCATGTGTCGACCTACCTGTTGCACCATGTGTCGACCTACCTGTAGCATCATGTGTCGACCTACCTGTTGCACCATGTGTCGACCTACCTGTTGCACCATGTGTCGACCTACCTGTTGCACCATGTGTCGACCTATCTGTTGCACCATGTGTCGACCTACCTGTTGCACCATGTGTCGACCTATCTGTTGCACCATGTGTCGACCTACCTGTTGCACCATGTGTCGACCTATCTGTTGCACCATGGGTCGACCTACCTGTTGCACCACGTGTCGACCTATCTGTTGCACCATGTGTCGACCTATCTGTTGCACCATGTGTCGACCTACCTGTTGCACCATGTGTCGACCTATCTGTTGCACCATGTATCGACCTACCTGTTGCACCATGTGTCGACCTACCTGTTGCACCATGTGTCGACCTATATGTTACACCATGTGTCGACCTACCTGTTGCACCATGTGTCGACCTATCTGTTGCACCATGTGTCGACCTACCTGTTGCACCATGTGTCGACCTATCTGTTGCACCATGTGTCGACCTATCTGTTGCACCATGTGTCGACCTACCTGTTGCACCATGTGTCGACCTATCTGTTGCACCATGTGTCGACCTACCTGTTGCACCATGTGTCTACATGCCTGTAGCACCATGTGTCGACCAACCTGTTGCACCATATGTCGACCAACCTGTTGCACCATGTGTCGACCTACCTGTAGCACCATGTGTCGACCTACCTGTAGCACCATGTGTCGACCTACCTGTTGCACCATGTGTCGACCAACCTGTTGCACCATGTGTCGACCTACCTGTTGCACCATGTGTCGACCAACCTGTTGCACCATGTGTCGACCTACCTGTTGCACCATGTGTCGACCTACCTGAAGCACCATGTGTCGACCTACCTGTTGCACCATGTGTCGACCTATCTGTAGCACCATGTGTCGACCTACCTGTAGCACCATGTGTCGACCTACCTGTTGCATCATGTGTCGACCTACCTGTTGCACCATGTGTCGACCTACCTGTAGCACCATGTGTCGACCAACCTGTTGCACCATGTGTCGACCTACCTGTAGCACCATGTGTCGACCTACCTGTTGCACCATGTGTCGACCTACCTGTTGCATCATGTGTCGACCTACCTGAAGCACCATGTGTCGACCTACCTGTTGCACCATGTGTCGACCTACCTGTAGCACCATGTGTCGACCTACCTGTAACACCATGTGTCGACCTACCTGTAGCACCATGTGTCGACCTATCTGTTGCACCATGTGTCGACCTACCTGTTGCACCATGTGTCGACCTACCTGTAGCACCATGTGTCGACCAACCTGTTGCATCATGTGTCGACCTACCTGTAGCACCATGTGTCGACCTGTTGCATCCTGTTGCACCATGTGTCGACCTACCTGTTGCACCATGTGTCGACCTACCTGTAGCACCATGTGTCGACCTACCTGTAGCACCATGTGTCGACCTACCTGTAGCACCATGTGTCGACCTACCTGTAGCACCATGTGTCGACCTACCTGTAGCACCATGTGTCGACCTACCTGTAGCACCATGTGTCGACCTACCTGTAGCACCATGTGTCGACCTACCTGTAGCACCATGTGTCGACCTACCTGTAGCACCATGTGTCGACCTACCTGTAGCACCATGTGTCGACCTACCTGTAGCACCATGTGTCGACCTACCTGTAGCACCATGTGTCGACCTACCTGTAGCACCATGTGTCGACCAACCTGTAGCACCATGTGTCGACCTACCTGTAGCACCATGTGTCGACCTACCTGTAGCACCATGTGTCGACCTACCTGTAGCACCATGTGTCGACCTACCTGTAGCACCATGTGTCGACCTACCTGTAGCACCATGTGTCGACCAACCTGTAGCACCATGTGTCGACCTACCTGTAGCACCATGTGTCGACCTACCTGTTGCACCATGTGTCGACCTACCTGTTGCACCATGTGTCGACCAACCTGTTGCGTGTCGACCCTGTAGCACCATGTGTCGACCTACCTGTAGCACCATGTGTCGACCTACCTGTAGCACCATGTGTCGACCAACCTGTTGCACCATGTGTCGACCAACCTGTTGCACCATGTGTCGACCTACCTGTAGCACCATGTGTCGACCTACCTGTAGCACCATGTGTCGACCTACCTGTTGCACCATGTGTCGACCAACCTGTTGCACCATGTGTCGACCAACCTGTTGCACCATGTGTCGACCTACCTGTAGCACCATGTGTCGACCTACCTGTTGCACCATGTGTCGACCTACCTGTTGCATCATGTGTCGACCTACCTGAAGCACCATGTGTCGACCTACCTGTTGCACCATGTGTCGACCTACCTGTAGCACCATGTGTCGACCTACCTGTAACACCATGTGTCGACATACCTGTAGCACCATGTGTCGACCTATCTGTTGCACCATGTGTCGACCTACCTGTTGCACCATGTGTCGACCTACCTGTAGCACCATGTGTCGACCAACCTGTTGCATCATGTGTCGACCTACCTGTAGCACCATGGGTCGACCTACCTGTTGCACCATGTGTCGACCTATCTGTTGCACCATGTGTCGACCTACCTGTTGCACCATGTGTCGACCTACCTGTAGCACCATGTGTCGACCAACCTGTTGCATCATGTGTCGACCTACCTGTAGCACCATGGGTCGACCTACCTGTTGCACCATGTGTCGACCTACCTGAAGCACCATGTGTCGACCTACCTGTAGCACCATGTGTCGACCTATCTGTAGCACCATGTGTCGACCAACCTGTTGCACCATGTGTCGACCTACCTGTAGCACCATGTGTCGACCTACCTGTAGCACCATGTGTCGACCTACCTGTAGCATCATGTGTCGACCTACCTGTAGCACCATGTGTCGACCAACCTGTTGCACCATATGTCGACCAACCTGTTGCACCATGTGTCGACCTACCTGTAGCACCATGTGTCGACCTACCTGTAGCACCATGTGTCGACCTACCTGTAGCACCATGTGTCGACCAACCTTTTGCACCATGTGTCGACCAACCTGTTGCACCATGTGTCGACCTACCTGTAGCACCATGTGTCGACCTACCTGTTGCACCATGTGTCGACCAACCTGTTGCACCATGTGTCGACCAACCTGTTGCACCATGTGTCGACCTACCTGTAGCACCATGTGTCGACCTACCTGTAGCACCATGTGTCGACCTACCTGTAGCACCATGTGTCGACCAACCTGTTGCACCATGTGTCGACCAACCTGTTGCACCATGTGTCGACCTACCTGTAGCACCATGTGTCGACCTACCTGTAGCACCATGTGTCGACCTACCTGTTGCACCATGTGTCGACCAACCTGTTGCACCATGTGTCGACCAACCTGTTGCACCATGTGTCGACCAACCTGTAGCACCATGTGTCGACCAACCTGTTGCACCATGTGTCGACCAACCTGTAGCACCATGTGTCGACCAACCTGTAGCACCATGTGTCGACCTACCTGTAGCATCATGTGTCGACCTACCTGTAGCACCATGTGTCGACCTTGTGGCTTACTCTAACACCTGTGGGTGTGTGGCTGACCCACCAACACCTGTGGGTGTGGCTGACCCACCAACACCTGTTGGTGTGTGGCTGACCCACCAACACCTGTGGGTCTGGCTGACCCACCAACACCTGTTGGTGTGTGGCTGACCCACCAACACCTGTGGGTCTGGCTGACCCACCAACACCTGTGGGTGTGGCTGACCCACCAACACCTGTTGGTGTGTGGCTGACCCACCAACACCTGTGGGTCTGGCTGACCCACCAACACCTGTTGGTGTGTGGCTGACCCACCAACACCTGTGGGTCTGGCTGACCCACCAACACCTGTGGGTGTGGCTGACCCACCAACACCTGTTGGTGTGTGGCTGACCCACCAACACCTGTGGGTCTGGCTGACCCACCAACACCTGTTGGTGTGTGGCTGACCCACCAACACCTGTGGGTCTGGCTGACCCACCAACACCTGTGGGTCTGGCTGACCCACCAACACCTGTGGGTGTGGCTGACCCACCAACACCTGTGGGTCTGGCTGACCCACCAACACCTGTGGGTCTGGCTGACCCACCAACACCTGTGGGTGTGGCTGACCCACCAACACCTGTGGGTGTGTGGCTGACCCACCAACACCTGTGGGTCTGGCTGACCCACCAACACCTGTGGGTCTGGCTGACCCACCAACACCTGTGGGTCTGGCTGACCCACCAACACCTGTGGGTATGGCTGACCCACCAACACCTGTGGATGTGGCTGACCCACCAACACCTGTGGGTCTGGCTGACGCACCAACACCTGTGGGTGTGTGGCTGACCCACCAACACCTGTGGGTGTGTGGCTGACCCACCAACACCTGTGGGTGTGTGGCTGACCCACCAACACCTGTGGGTGTGGCTGACCCACCAACACCTGTGGGTGTGTGGCTGACCCACCAACACCTGTGGGTGTGTGGCTGACCCACCAACACCTGTGGGTCTGGCTGACCCACCAACACCTGTGGGTGTGTGGCTGACCCACCAACACCTGTGGGTCTGGCTGACCCACCAACACCTGTGGGTCTGGCTGACCCACCAACACCTGTGGGTCTGGCTGACCCACCAACACCTGTGGGTATGGCTGACCCACCAACACCTGTGGATGTGGCTGACCCACCAACACCTGTGGGTCTGGCTGACGCACCAACACCTGTGGGTGTGTGGCTGACCCACCAACACCTGTGGGTGTGTGGCTGACCCACCAACACCTGTGGGTGTGTGGCTGACCCACCAACACCTGTGGGTGTGGCTGACCCACCAACACCTGTGGGTGTGTGGCTGACCCACCAACACCTGTGGGTGTGTGGCTGACCCACCAACACCTGTGGGTCTGGCTGACCCACCAACACCTGTGGGTGTGTGGCTGACCCACCAACACCTGTGGGTGTGGCTGACCCACCAACACCTGTGGGTGTGTGGCTGACCCACCAACACCTGTGGGTGTGTGGCTGACCCACCAACACCTGTGGGTGTGGCTGACCCACCAACACCTGTGGGTGTGTGGCTGACCCACCAACACCTGTGGGTGTGGCTGACCCACCAACACCTGTGGGTGTGTGGCTGACCCACCAACACCTGTGGGTCTGGCTGACCCACCAACACCTGTGGGTGTGGGGCTGACCCACCAACACCTGTGGGTGTGGCTGACCCACCAACACCTGTGGGTGTTATCAGGGTCCTGTAATTTATCAGGAGTAACAAATTTATCATGGGGGTGTTTTCCTCATGAGGCAGCTGCTGATAAATACACAAAAATTACCATTTCAAGAGCACTAATTTCACTAAGAAGTGGCCCATTATCGTCATGTGCTAATGGTGATGGGGCCAGTTCCATTATGTTGGGCACCACCCCACCCACGATGCTGCACGACCCCCACCACTCTGCCACGACTCCCACCACTCTGGCACGACTCCCACCACTCTGGCACGACCCCCACCACTCTGGCACGACCCCCACCACTCTCTGGCACGACCACTACCACTCTGGCACGACCACCACCACTCTGACACGACCCCCACTCCCACCACTCTGGCACGACCACTACCACTCTGGCACGACCACCACCACTCTGACACGCACGACCCCCACCACTCTGACACGCCCCCACCACTCTGGCACTACCTCCACCACTCTGGCACGACCCCCCACCACTCTGGCACGACCCCCCCACCACTCTGGCACGACCCCACACTCAGCACGACCCCCACCACTCTGGCACTACCTCCACCACTCCAGCACGACCCCACCACTCTGGCACGACTCCCACCACTCTGGCACGACCCCCACCACTCTGGCACGACCCCCACCACTCTGGCACGACCCCCACCACTCTGCCACGACTCCCACCACTCTGGCACGACCACTACCACTCTGGCACGACCACCACCACTCTGACACGACCCCCACCACTCTGGCACGACCCGCACCACTCTGGCACGACCACTACCACTCTGGCACGACCACCACCACACTGACACCACCCCCACCACTCTGGCACGACCACCACCACTCTGACACGACCCCCACCACTCTGGCACTACCTCCACCACTCTGGCACGACCCCCACCACTCTGGCACGACCCCCCACCACTCTGGCACGACCCCCACCACTCTGGCACTACCTCCACCACTCCAGCACGACCCCACCACTCTGGCACGACCCCCCACCACTCTGGCACGACTCCCACCACTCCAGCACGACCCCCACCACTCTGGCACGACCACCACCACTCCAACACGACCCCCACCACTCTGGCACGACCACCACCACTCTGGCACGACCTCCACCACTCCAACACGACCCCCACCACTCTGACACGACCCCACCACTCTGGCACGACTCCCACCACTCCAGCACGACCCCCACCACTCTGGCACGACCTCCACCACTCTGCACACCCCCAACTCCCACCACTCCACTCTGCACGACCCCCACCACTCCAACACGACCCCCACCACTCTGACACGACCCCACCACTCTGGCACGACTCCCACCACTCCAGCACGACCCCCACCACTCTGGCACGACCTCCACCACTCTGACACAACTCCCACCACTCCAGCACGACCCCCACCACTCCAACAAGACCCCCACCACTCCAACACGACCCCCACCACTCTGACACGACCCCTACCACTCCAGCACGCCCCCACCACTCTGACACGACCCCCACCACTCTGACACGACCCCCACCACTCTGACACGACCCCACCACACTGGCACGACTCCCACTACTCCAGCACGACCCCCACCACTCTGGCACGACCACCACCACTCTGGCACGACCTCCACCACTCCAACACGACCCTCACCACTCTGACACGACCCCACCACTCTGGCACGACTCCCACCACTCCAGCACGACCCCACCACTCTGGCACGACCTCCACCACTCTGACACGACCCCCACCACTCCAGCACGACCCCCACCACTCCAGCACGACCCCCACCACTCTGACACGATCCCCACCACTCCAGCACGACCCCCCACCACTCTGACACGACCCCCACCACTCTGCCACGACCCCCACCACTCTGACACGACCCCCACCACTCTGACACGACCCCCACCACTCTGACACGACCCTCACCACTCCAACACGACCCCCCACCACTCTGACACGACCCCCACCACTCCAGCACGACCCCCACCACTCTGACACGACCCCCACCACTCCAACACGACCCCCACCACTCCAGCACGACCCCCCCACCACTCTGACACGACCCCCACCACTCCAACACGACCCCCACCACTCCAGCACGACCCCCCCACCACTCTGACACGACCCCCACCACTCCAACACGACCCCCACCATTCTGGCACGACCCCCACCACTCCAACACGACCCCCACCACTCCAACACGACCCTCACCACTCCAGCACGACCCCCACCACTCCAGCACGACCCCCACCACTCCAGCACGACCCCCACCACTCCAGCACCACTCCAACACGACCCCCACCACACGACCCCCATCCAGCACGACCCCCACCACTCCAGCACGACCCCCACCACTCCAACACGACCCCCACCACTCCAACACGACCCCCACCACTCCAACACGACCCCCATCACTCCAGCACGACCCCCACCACTCCAGCACTACCCCCACCACTCCAACACGACCCCCACCACTCCAACACGACCCCCACCACTCCAACACGACCCCCATCACTCCAACACGACCCCCATCACTCCAGCACGACCCCCACCACTCCAGCACTACCCCCACCACTCCAACACGACCCTCACCACTCCAACACGACCCCCACCACTCCAACACGACCCCCACCACTCCAACACGACCCCCACCACTCCAACACGACCCCCACCACTCCAACCCCCACCACTCCAACACGACCCCCACCACTACCCCCCGACCCCCACCACTCCAACACGACCCCCACCACTCCAACACGACCCCCACCACTCCAACACGACCCCCACCACTCCAACACGACCCCCACCACTCCAACACGACCCCCACCACTCCAACACGACCGCTCCCTGAGCGCTCTCCTCCACCTTCCACCTGTTGCTCCAAAGGAGTGATTCACCTGCCTGCATCACCTGTTGCTCCGAGGACTCACTCAGGTGGCCGTATACAACCACCACCACCACCACTATCACAACCACCATTACCACCCCTCCACACCACTACTGCCACCACCACTACCCCTTTCACCACCACTACAGCCATCACCACTACAACTACTACCACCACCACTACAGCTACCACCACTACACCCTCCACCACTACTACTAGCCACTACTACCACCAACACCACTGCTATTCATGTTTCCAATTCAAGAGAGTTGGTTGTGTTGTGTTACGAGTCCTCGTCAGTGACCTCTGACCTTCAGGCTCCACCAGCAATATCTGCCAACGTCCTCTGGCCAAATATACGAAATTCTTAAACGCACTAATGATGTGTGTTTAAGGTTAAGTAATTATGAGGAGAATAAAGTAAGCCATTATGCGTGCGGGGCGGCGCTAGACGGGTCCGCCCCGAGGTGTGTCGAGCCCTCCTCAACCCGCCATCATTTTACTGAAAATAAAATCATCAAATAGAATAAAAAATAAAAATAAATGTAAGCATAAATTCCAATATGGCATCCCAACCTGTGTCAACACATCACAAAATACAGTTGGGCATTAGGCCTCAGAGCATGACGTCATCAACATTTCTCCGCTTTACTTCAGCTAAACTGCGTTAAATTAATGCAATATTTTGCCATAAAAAATAAACATTTTCTTTCTTTCTTTTTATCAGGTTGACTCAGTGCCAGGGGGTTGCCACCAATTTCATAAAGGGCGTCATTTGACCGTCCATGTTTGTCACCTACCCCTCAGTAATTATCATGCAAAGGTGGTTAAGGCTAGCCTCAAGCATTTGGCCTCCATCCAAGGACAGTACTGGGATACTTGGACAACATGAAGGAACAGAGCCCATTGTATTGAACTGTTGTGGTTGGAGCGTCAGTGTACACGACTCGGGGTCGTCACTGTACTCACCATAATAAGCGGATGGATTGTAATAACAAACGTTTTTGTTAAACGATTGATGGTGAGGTCTTGGCGTATGGCGAAGGATTCATCCTGTTTGTGGCCCATGGTGAAGCAGCCATCACTCCAGGCCCAGGCTCCGTACTTACCATCATTGCAAAACAAAAAACATGACATGAAGTAAATATTATAGGAAGATGTCACCTAGACACCGGTGACATCCGGGACTCTCATTAGTGAACCCAAAGTTGAAGAGAGAGAGTACTAACATCACACAAACCTCCCGGAGAGAGCTGCTAAGAAGAAACATCACAAAACATATTGTCACAAAGTCTACAAAATATTGTAACAAACCTGTATTTCTCAGCGAGCGGCTGGTCCCAACAGACCGCTGGAACACACTCCCCCGCACTCCTCAGCGAGCGGCTGGTCCCAACAGACCGCTGGAACACACTCTCCCGCACTCCTCTGCGAGCGGCTGGTCCCAACAGACCGCTGGAACACACTCTCCCGCACTCCTCTGCGAGCGGCTGGTCCCAACAGACCGCTGGAACACACTCTCCCGCACTCTGCGAGCGGCTGGTCCCAACAGACCGCTGGAACACACTCTCCCGCAATTACTGTGATTAAAAGGATCTCTAAAATGAATGGAAGACTTTTCAACAAGAGATTTTCTTAGATTTCGTTGTTTTTATCATATTTTACGAGCAGCATTATCAGTGAGGGAGGCAGCATTATCAGTGAGGGAGGCAGCATTATCAGTGAGGGAGGGAGCCAGCATTATCAGTGAGGGAGGGAGGCAGCATTATCAGTGAGGGAGGCAGCATTATCAGTGAGGGAGGCAGCATTATCAGTGAGGGAGCCACCCAGCATTATCAGTGAGGGAGGGAGGCAGCATTATCAGTGAGGGAGGCAGCATTATCAGTGAGGGAGGGAGGCAGCATTATCAGTGAGGGAGGGAGGCAGCATTATCAGTGAGGGAGGCAGCATTATCAGTGAGGGAGCCAGCCAGCATTATCAGTGAGGGAGGGAGGCAGCATTATCAGTGAGGGAGGCAGCATTATCAGTGAGGGAGGGTGGCAGCATTATCAGTGAGGGAGGGAGGCAGCATTATCAGTGAGGGAGGCAGCATTATCAGTGAGGGAGGGAGGCAGCATTATCAGTGAGGGAGCTAGCCAGCATTATCAGTGAGGGAGCCATCCAGCATTATCAGTGAGGGAGGCAACATTATCAGTGAGGGAGGGAGGCAGCATTATCAGTGAGGGAGGCAGCATTATCAGTGAGGGAGGGAGGCAGCATTATCAGTGAGGGAGGGAGGCAGCATTATCAGTGAGGGAGGGAGGCAGCATTATCAGTGAGGGAGGCAGCATTTTCAGTGAGGGAGGGCGGCAGCATTATCAGTGAGGGAGCTAGCCAGCATTATCAGTGAGGGAGCCAGCCAGCATTATCAGTGAGGGAGCCAGCCAGCATTATCAGTGAAGGAGCCAGCCAGCATTATCAGTGAGGGAGCCAGCATTATCAGTGAGGGAGGCAGCATTATCAGTGAGGGAGGGAGCCAGCATTATCAGTGAGGGAGGGAGCCAGCATTATCAGTGAGGGAGGGAGGTAGCATTATCAGTGAGGGAGGGAGGCAGCATTATCAGTGAGGGAGGCAGCATTATCAGTGAGGGAGGCAGCATTATCAGTGAGGGAGGGAGGCAGCATTATCAGTGAGGGAGGGAGCATTATCAGTGAAGGAGGCAGCATTATCAGTGAGGGAGGGAGGTAGCATTATCAGTGAGGGAGGGAGGTAGCATTATCAGTGAGGGAGGGAGGTAGCATTATCAGTGAGGGAGGGAGGTAGCATTATCAGTGAGGGAGGGAGGCAGCATTATCAGTGAGGGAGCCAGCCAGCATTATCAGTGAGGGAGCCAGCCAGCATTATCAGTGAGGGAGGCAGCCAGCATTATCAGTGAGGGAGGCAGCATTATCAGTGAGGGAGGGAGGTAGCATTATCAGTGAGGGAGCCAGCATTATCAGTGAGGGAGGGAGGCAGCATTATCAGTGAGGGAGGGAGGCAGCATTATCAGTGAGGGAGGGAGCCAGCATTATCAGTGAGGGAGGGAGGTAGCATTATCAGTGAGGGAGGCAGCATTATCAGTGAGGGAGGGAGGCAGCATTATCAGTGAGGGAGGCAGCATTATCAGTGAGGGAGGCAGCATTATCAGTGAGGGAGGCAGCATTATCAGTGAGGGAGGGAGGCAGCATTATCAGTGAGGAGCCAGCCAGCATTATCAGTGAGGGAGGGAGGTAGCATTATCAGTGAGGGAGGGAGGTAGCATTATCAGTGAGGGAGGGAGGCAGCATTATCAGTGAGGGAGCCAGCCAGCATTATCAGTGAGGGAGCCAGCCAGCATTATCAGTGAGGGAGGCAGCCAGCATTATCAGTGAGGGAGGCAGCATTATCAGTGAGGGAGGGAGGTAGCATTATCAGTGAGGGAGCCAGCATTATCAGTGAGGGAGGCAGCATATCAGTGAGGGAGGGAGGTAGCATTATCAGTGTAGGGAGCCAGCCATCATTATGAGTGAGGGAGGGAGGCAGCATTATCAGTGAGGGAGGGAGGCAGCATTATCAGTGAGGGAGCCAGCCAGCATTATCAGTGAGGGAGGGAGGCAGCATTATCAGTGAGGGAGGGAGGCAGCATTATCAGTGAGGGAGGCAGCATTATCAGTGAGGGAGGGAGGCAGCATTATCAGTGAGGGAGGCAGCATTATCAGTGAAGGAGGCAGCATTATCAGTGAGGGAGGCAGCATTATCAGTGAGGGAGGGAGGCAGCATTATCAGTGAGGGAGGGAGGCAGCATTATCAGTGAGGGAGGGAGGCAGCATTATGAGTGAGGGAGGGAGCATTATCAGTGAGGGAGGGAGGCAGCATTATCAGTGAGGGAGGCAGCATTATCAGTGAGGGAGGGAGCCAGCATTATCAGTGAGGGAGGCAGCATTATCAGTGAGGGAGGGAGGTAGCATTATCAGTGAGGAGGCAGCATTATCAGTGAGGAGGGAGGCAGCATTATCAGTGAGGGAGGCAGCATTATCAGTGAGGGAGGGAGGCAGCATTATCAGTGAGGGAGGCAGCATTATCAGTGAGGGAGGGAGGCAGCATTATCAGTGAGGGAGGGGGGCAGCATTATCAGTGAGGGAGCCAGCCAGCATTATGAGTGAGGGAGGGAGGCAGCATTATCAGTGAGGGAGGGAGGCAGCATTATCAGTGAGGGAGCCAGCCAGCATTAACAGTGAGGGAGGGAGGCAGCATTATCAGTGAGGGAGGCAGCATTATCAGTGAGGGAGGGAGGCAGCATTATCAGTGAGGGAGGAAGGCAGCATTATCAGTGAGGGAGGGAGGCAGCATTATCAGTGAGGGAGGGAGGCAGCATTATCAGTGAGGGAGGCAGCATTATCAGTGAGGGAGGCAGCATTATCAGTGAGGGAGGGAGCCAGCATTATCAGTGAGGGAGGGAGCCAGCATTATGAGTGAGGGAGGGAGGCAGCATTATGAGTGAGGGAGGGAGGCAGCATTATCAGTGAGGGAGGGAGGCAGCATTATCAGTGAGGGAGGCAGCATTATCAGTGAGGGAGGCAGCATTATCAGTGAGGGAGGGAGCCAGCATTATCAGTGAGGGAGGGAGGGAGCATTATGAGTGAGGGAGGGAGCATTATCAGTGAGGGAGGGAGGCAGCATTATCAGTGAGGGAGGGAGGCAGCATTATCAGTGAGGGAGGGAGGCAGCATTATCAGTGAGGGAGGGAGGCAGCATTATCAGTGAGGGAGGCAGCATTATCAGTGAGGGAGGGAGGCAGCATTATCAGTGAGGGAGGGAGCCAGCATTATCAGTGAGGGAGGGAGCCAGCATTATGAGTGAGGGAGGGAGGCAGCATTATCAGTGAGGGAGGGAGCCAGCATTATGAGTGAGGGAGGGAGCCAGCATTATCAGTGAGGGAGGGAGGCAGCATTATCAGTGAGGGAGGGAGCCAGCATTATCAGTGAGGGCGGGAGGCAGCATTATCAGTGAGGGTGGGAGGCAGCATTATCAGTGAGGGAGGGAGGCAGCATTATCAGTGAGGGAGGGAGGCAGCATTATGAGTGAGGGAGGGAGGCAGCATTATCAGTGAGGGAGGGAGGCAGCATTATCAGTGAGGGAGGGAGACAGCATTATCAGTGAGGGAGGGAGCCAGCATTATCAGTGAGGGAGGGAGCCAGCATTATGAGTGAGGGAGGGAGGCAGCATTATGAGTGAGGGAGGGAGGCAGCATTATCAGTGAGGGAGGGAGGCAGCATTATCAGTGAGGGAGGCAGCATTATCAGTGAGGGAGGCAGCATTATCAGTGAGGGAGGGAGCCAGCATTATCAGTGAGGGAGGGAGGCAGCATTATCAGTGAGGGAGGGAGGCAGCATTATCAGTGAGGAAGGGAGGCAGCATTATCAGTGAGGAGGGAGGCAGCATTATCAGTGAGGGAGGGAGGCAGCATTATCAGTGAGGGAGGGAGCCAGCATTATCAGTGAGGGAGGCAGCATTATCAGTGAGGGAGGGAGGCAGCATTATCAGTGAGGGAGGGAGCCAGCATTATCAGTGAGGGAGGGAGCCAGCATTATGAGTGAGGGAGGGAGGCAGCATTATCAGTGAGGGAGGGAGCCAGCATTATGAGTGAGGGAGGGAGCCAGCATTATCAGTGAGGGAGGGAGGCAGCATTATCAGTGAGGGAGGGAGCCAGCATTATCAGTGAGGGCGGGAGGCAGCATTATCAGTGAGGGAGGGAGGCAGCATTATCAGTGAGGGAGGGAGGCAGCATTATCAGTGAGGGAGGGAGGCAGCATTATGAGTGAGGGAGGGAGGCAGCATTATCAGTGAGGGAGGGAGGCAGCATTATCAGTGAGGGAGGGAGACAGCATTATCAGTGAGGGAGGGAGCCAGCATTATCAGTGAGGGAGGGAGCCAGCATTATGAGTGAGGGAGGGAGGCAGCATTATCAGTGAGGGAGGGAGCCAGCATTATGAGTGAGGGAGGGAGCCAGCATTATCAGTGAGGGAGGGAGGCAGCATTATCAGTGAGGGAGGGAGCCAGCATTATCAGTGAGGGAGGGAGCCAGCATTATGAGTGAGGGAGGGAGGCAGCATTATGAGTGAGGGAGGGAGGCAGCATTATCAGTGAGGGGAGGAGGCAGCATTATCAGTGAGGGAGGGAGGCAGCATTATCAGTGAGGGAGGCAGCATTATCAGTGAGGGAGGCAGCATTATCAGTGAGGGAGGGAGCCAGCATTATCAGTGAGGGAGGGAGGGAGCATTATGAGTGAGGGAGGGAGGCAGCATTATCAGTGAGGGAGGGAGGCAGCATTAAGAGTGAGGGAGGGAGCCAGCATTATCAGTGAGGGAGGGAGGCAGCATTATGAGTGAGGGAGGGAGCCAGCATTATCAGTGAGGGAGCCAGCATTATGAGTGAGGGAGGGAGGCAGCATTATCAGTGAGGGAGGGAGGCAGCATTATCAGTGAGGGAGGGAGCCAGCATTATCAGTGAGGGAGGGAGCCAGCATTATGAGTGAGGGAGGGAGGCAGCATTATGAGTGAGGGAGGGAGGCAGCATTATCAGTGAGGGAGGG